GGCCCAGACAGATAGGAGAGTCTGTTGATGTCTCGCTCTTACAACACATATCTAGTGTAACCAGGCTTGCAGACTCGCCACCAAGAAGTGTATACAGGATGGCAGTGGCCAAGTGCATGATGGTCCAGTCTCTCCGCCAGTTCCAGGATGTATTCGAAGTATGGGAAGTGAGTGACCACACTCTGGCGGGGGTTTTCCAAAATGAAAAGCACCCTGCGGCTAAAAGCTACGAGCATACAGATGGCACACCGCACAGCGATCATGTTGTGAAGTTTTATCCAATCTAGTTCTGTTCGCCCCATGTATCCATTGGCTTCGGTTCGATCATGTGTTCCTGAACTCATCCACGAAAACGAGTTGCATGGTTGGCCTGCCTGCAGTAGGCCGAACCGAACAACCCTCAGAACAAGCTGCAAGCTCCGGGCGAAACCGTGAACTGTGCCGATGTCTTCCAGGGATCCCTTCGCATCTTTGTCAAATGTCAGACTCAGTGGCAATCAGCAATGACCAGGCCCATATTTCTTTTCCATTTAACCATTCGACAACAGCATGCGCATTACTGTTTGAGCAAAGGAACGCTTGTAGTCCAAGACGGCCTTGGGCTGGTTGATGCGCACGCACGTTTATTATCAAAAAGGTTCCACCCAGTGAGACTAGATATACACCAAGGCACGAAATCCTCCAGCTACTTCGCCCACACCAGAGAATAGTTCACAGCACCACTGGTCCTGAGCGAGCTGGTCAAAAGCAAATTGGCTGACCAATAATTATACTATTTTTCAACCCGGCCACTCTGCGACGCACCAAAGGGGAGACAGTGACCTGGTTGATGTAATCCAAGAGGTGGATCCTTGCAATGGATTGGTAGATTTTCCCAAGCAAATCAAATTTGAGCAGCTGGGAAAACCGCAACTGGAAACCAAAACTGCCATCGAGTGACACAATAGGAGGTAGTCCCACTAGGATTAAGAAACTCACTTGCAGCTGCGAAAGCTGGATTGTAGGGCAACCTTCGGGCATCTTTCCCGTGATAAGAGCAGTTGCTCTAACTTGGGCCGTCGAACTTGCATGCCGAGTCAACCTCATGAGTGCCCACACGTGTGCACACAACCACATATATATATATATAGGAAGTTATACCCATGACTTCCATTTTTGTGAGCCCCTACCTATGCTGTCAACCCGTTGTAATGAACAACGAGTGGTTCCAAATTTCATGAACTTATCAACTTCCAGGATGCCGGCTGCGAAAAACAAGTTGCTGCCAGGCCAACATGCCGGCCATGGGATTGGTTCATGATGATCATTATGGACAAACGATGAGGCACTGGCACCTGGGTTGCGGGAATTGGACGGACCCCAACTACAAACTGATCACATCGGATCAGCCATCCCTCTCAAAAGCAGAACTGTAGATCTCTGCCAAAATTCCTTAGCTGGCCGTGTGTCATGGATTTCAGTTAAACTATTTTCATGTAGTATACAGGTAAGCAGCCGTCAGCTCCAAAGGATTGTTTAAAGAGTTGGTCATTGTTCCACCCAGCGATCATTTGGGCAGCCTGCAGCCTGAGCAACACGCGCGGCTAGTACTTTCTCATACATATCTATTAGAATAATAATATATTGCAATTATATTGCAAGTTCGATTAGGACCCAGACGCCAACTGCAAACTTTCAAATTGTGCCCAGGGAATCGTCACGCCGCCTTTCTTATCAGCCTCGCACGCTAAACCGATCTAGCGCTTATATAATGATTGGTTTGATCGAAAAAAAACAATTCGATATCAATAGATTGGCCTTCTCAAACTGAGCCAATGGGTTGATGAACTTCCGTACGTAGAAGCTGCTCGAGTAGAGAACCACGTTAATCCCACTGATGTTCTTGGGCGCGTTGGGGTCCTTCCTACGGGCCCCGTCGAAAGCCTGTCGGTTTGGCCAAATTGTGAAGCTCCTCAGCGCATGTAGGCATGGCTGCGCATGTGCACAGGTGCGTCGTATATATCACGTGAACGCCACTTCAAAATCAAGGTTCAATTTGCAAAAGCCATGAGGGACTTGAAGGTGAGTCACACCAGATCTCCTGATCTCCTCCAGCGCACGCTCTGCTGCTGCAACGCGTGTAGAGTGCGCGTTCTTTGCAGCCCCATTGGGCTCCTGATCCTTAGCAGCAGGTTTGGCCTCAGAAATTCGAATACTGTCGGCCTTGGCTGGCTTCTGTCGTCGACTCGTCGATGGCTTGGGAGCTGGCTTGGGAGCCTCGAGGCTAGTAGATTTGCGACTATGGTTCTTCGAAGTACTCGTAGCTTTTGGGGATTGCTTGCTTCGCGAGCGAGCTTTCGGCTTTGGCGCGGGGGTGCTGCTTGCAGCAGGTCCTGACTTCAGATCATCATGATCGATATCATCATGATCAGGCTGCTTGCGCTTCGATGAAGATCGCTCACCACCACCATCACCACCACGGGCACCACTGCGACCGCGTCCACGACCCTTCCCACCACCACGGCCGCGGCCGCGGCCACGGCCTTTCTCTGCAGCTTTCTCCTAGCTAAAAATAGTCAGCTTGCCCAAAAAAACAGAGTCGATGGCCGGAGTATACATCGATTTTAACATGATTTCACATGTGTTTTTCAGTGCACGCGCAGAATGATTTATCCTCCTTGTTTTTGCTTCGAATGTCAGCTTGCTTTGCCCTAGCCCAATCATACGAAGTCGGTGGAACCACAAACGCTCCGCCAGGCCCTGCAGCTGCGGACGACTCTGGATCCTCGGATATACGGAATGCTGGAGGGAGTTAGGGCCCGGCAAGTCAACCGGCTGTTTTACCAACCGGCTAATTTTGATTTTCTTGTTCGATGGTGCCGCCAACTGACGACTTGAACAAGATCACACTGATCATCATCTTCATCTTCTGAATCACTAGCAGCTGGATCCGCTTGAGTAGCGGGCAGCTCATCTTCAGGATCTGCGATCGCCGCCATATCAACTGATGGTTCCCGCGATAAATTGACCTGCTGGTATACGTGTGAAGGGAAACCTGCAATCAAATAACATGTACATGTAAAGCTGGCCAAAAATGTGCGAGTTCCAACCTGGACCATGGGAGTTGTGTCAACTCTGCCTTCAACTTTCAACCGGTAGATGTTCTTGAGGACAGCAATTTCAAAAGTCCTTAAGATTGGCCAAGACTAGCCACCCCCCACCATGAAATTGCATAAATATAGTTGACAAGCAGTCATGTTGATCCAAAGGTTCCTAGCTTCCCATGTCCGCGTCAACCTCACCAAGTAGTTTGCCAGGGCTTTCAGTCGCGCACCCTGGAGAGTAGCCCAATCCTTGGACCCAATCATGGAATTCGATTGCGGGAAGACGGGGGGTGCATGATTAAATCATTTTTGCAGGTAACAGCGCCCATGGTCATGACCAAGTATCTTTCTTTTGCCCCTTGAAACCCCTCCCTTTGTCTGAATCCTTGTAGAGCTTGAATACAGCGCACAGCTGGAGCATAGCCGCCTCAAAGGAAACCAAATCTGGGAAGTGAGTCCCCCTTTTTATGCCTTGTTCCAGGTAATTAACGGTAGGTTCAGGATGGTCTACTCTGGGCATGTTGTTGGCCGGGGAGCTTTGTGATCTTCCAACGTCGGGAATCTGGAGCCAGCAAATTCCCACAGGTACCCCTTGAGGATCTCATAGTTGGTGGGATTTTGCAAGTCTTCCTCGCTGACCTTCAGCTGGGCTTGGGCCATGTCGACAATGGGTTAGCCCTCACAGGTTGCGCAAGTTAAATTTGATGGCCACGAGTGTGATCATCGATCTAAAAATGCAACAGCTGGTGGGCCAAAGTTTGCAGCCGTGACGCAGGGTCATCCCTGATATGTTCCAATCGGCCCTCCACATGAGGCTTCAGCAACTCGAAGATTTTCCGGGATACATCCTGATCAGGAAATTCACTATCGCCCTCCTATGTACAGCCCCACACATGCGAGCTTCAAAATACAGGTCTATTTTGAAGTAACGAGATTACCATGCAGGCGAGACTCGGTGGTTTTGAATGAAAGGGGTTTGGAGAAGTGAACAACCCCAGATCTCTCTTCCGCCATGATACCGATGCGCCAAGGATCGATTGCCAGCTCTGACTGTACGCACTGGAACCCACACATGCGTCGGGACGCACATGCGCACTCTCTCCAACCCGCATCTGGCCAGCAGCAAGATCATATGAGCACACCTCATTCGATTAATATCATGGTCTATTCTAGAAAATATCATCTCATATCCCCTCAACTATATTTTAGATATTTTTACATCGATTCTACCGCAGATAGCCACGGCACAAGCGGGTGGGCGCACCTTTCAAAGATGCATCCCGCTGAGCAAAATGAAATGCCATTGCTCTTGACATTTTCCCCCTTCTCGGATCCTACCCTGATCCAAAACACCTCTGTGGGCGCGCTTGGTGTCCAAACACCTCCTCAGAGCAAAACGCACAAATATGCACTTTCCACCAAACACGCACTATTTGTGCGATCGGATCCTTAGGGACTGGTATTACGTATTACCTTAAAGGGCATATACTGTTGTTTTAACTTTAAAACATATATTAATTGTACGTGTGTTTTTTGTACATGTCTTTGGACGTATTTGTCTGACAGTCTGACATTTGTTATAAGAGATGTTGTTTTGCTAGTGAACAGCAAACAGCCTCGGCAAATCATTGTGGTGCTGGCATATCGACGTACAGTAGGAGTGCAGGTGATTCATCCACACGAATGAGAGCACAATGACCCGGTTTCAGCTGCTTGATATGCGCAAACTTACGGCCCTCTTCCAGGGCCGCACTATATCCAAGCCGAACCTGTCAAGACCCTGAGGAAATGCCAACTGCCATCAAGAAAGACACCCAAATGTCATGTTCATGTCAGTTTTTTCCTTTCAATGGCCCTCATTCGGCAAAAAGCTGGAGTTCTTTGAAGTTTTGAGTCACTCAGACCACCTTCTCTCAGGTGGTGCCTTCCAACACAGACCGTGCGGAGCTCCAGAACGGGATGGGGCGAGCGGAGAGAGCGGTTTTTGGACCGGATGGATTTTGGATGGTTTTGGACCCCGAAGATGGATGAATCACTGTGAATGCTTGGTTTCCGTGGGAAGAGATGTTCATTTCTTACCAATATATTTTGAACCGAACAAATCCAAGCAGCTGTGAGAGTCTTATACAAACCACTTCAGAACGAGTCTCACCCAGAATCTCAGAATTATAGTATCAACTTTGGTCAACTTCTTCGAAGTGCTCAACTTCACTTTGTTCTCTTCACATGCAATGTCTTATACAATCCACGTGACCTTCGAACAATCCATGCGACTGGAATCTTTGTCTATAGACTGAGGGTGATTTGTTGAGTTGTTTTACGGGTCAATGCATACCCAGTCCCACACTCCATGGGACTGCCATATACCCTCCCTCCAACAATCATGGAAGCTGACCAGGACCCCCTTGTAGAGGAAAATTATCTTCCAGGGGCCTGCGTTCCACTTCCATGATTGTTTCAGGGAGTGTATGCCGATGAATTGACCCCCCAAACCACCCCAATGTAGACATGGAGTGTCTGGGACTGGGTAAATCTTCCAGTCCCATGGATGGTCTCGCCACCGGTCGTTCGCTGTGCACGTTCCGCGTGCACAAAAACCGCAAAGAGCCACGTTCCGCGTGGGGCTGCGCCGAGAGCCTTTTTTTTTGCGCCAGGAGTTGGCGAAGGAAAGGAAAGGAAAGGCAAGGCAAGGCAAGGCAAGGCAAAGCAAGGGAAGGGAAGGAAAGGAAAGAAGAACAAGCTAGGCAAACAAGTTCAGGAAACTTCTCTATCAGAAACCAACATCGAAACATCGGGTGGAACTCACCATCGAACCATTCGGCTGCGAGGCTTCCAGCGTTGGGCCGAGCACATCTTGGCCGCGCGGCGGATGATCCGAGCGCAGCGTGGTGGGTCGACGGTCGCTTTCGACCTGAAGAAGGGGGTGTCCATGTCGAGATCGGATAGTACAGTGGTGTGCTGCTGGAAGAGCCAGGTGACCCATGGTGACCCCTGGTTTTGTTATGGTGCTTTTTTCTTTTTTGCGGCGAAATCCTGGTTTTGCCGTGTGAAATCCTCATCCCAGACATGACCTGCCTGGGACTGCCATAGGACTGCCGATCAATTGACCCCCAGTCAACCACTCCAATGGGGCGGCATATATATATATTATATATATGGCAGTCCCATTAGTCGTGTCTGGGTATAACAAAATCTAATAATTCTTCGATAAAAGGGTATTGAAATCATGGTGCTTGGAAGCCTAGTAGAGAGGAGTCCAGGTTCGACCTGCGGACTGAGAGGAGTCCCCGGTTACTCGACTCAGCCGTTGGGCACCGGAAAAAGGACGTCCGTCCGTCCGTCCTTTTTCGGATACACTCCTGAAAACTAACATGGATCCGGGTCGACTGGCGCCCTGAAAGACTTTTTTCCTTTACAAGCCAGTGGTTTTCTGCGTCCATGTTAGTTTTCAGCGAGGTACTATTTGGTCAGGGATGGTCAGAGCATTTAAACAACATAGTTGACGGAACTCCCACCAGGGTGTGGTTCGCATGGCCAGTGCGGCAGTTCCAAGTCCCATGGGCACTTCCACTTGCTATTTTTGGACAGGCTTGTTTGCTGAAATTTTCCATGTGGGTAACTTTGATGCCTGCAAGCAGACGTGGGGCTGCAGTCCCTTCCTAGGCTGAGGATAAATAATGATTGGACTAGGAATGTCCCTGTGTCACCCACCATTTGGAGTCTTGCTCCAACTTGTTTTTAGTTTGTGAGAGGCCATGAGTCATAGTGTCGTTTCTGGCCACCCAAACCCTGACCTATCCTGAACTCAGCTCTGAAACTTGACAGTGTTTTTTGGCTCTTTTTCACGTGCCGCTTTTCACGGTGTTTCTCGAGGAAGGCATCGAGGTCTCCGGCGCGGAGAAGCGTTTGGAGCGGCACGAGCTCCACCGGCCGACCAACGGTATGTTCGCGCAGGCGGGGGAAGCGGGTGGAAGGAAAATAGGGGTCGCATAGAGGTGGGGGGGCATCTCAGATATCTCAGAGGTTCAGGTTCTTCAGATGGGGAGGATGATCAGATCTGAAGTGTTTCAGAGTTCCTTGCCATCCACGTAAACCTATGACGATGCTAAATGACTTTGAAGCGTTGTCTTCCAAGGTATACAGACTTCAGGTATCTTAAGGTATATGAGTCATGAGGTATACCAGGTATTGGCATTAGCATTCGCCAGGCCAGACATTTGAGGAACAGACAAAACGGGTGATCTATGTCAGAAACACGCCATTTGGAGCCTCTGGCAATCATCGAATGGCTGGTGCGTTTCGTTTGTTTGTGCCAACGTTCCTCGTGTGATGAAGGAGACATTGGCCTATATGGAAGGTGGATGGCACCACCGGTTTCTTTCTACAACCGCAATCAACCACCCATGCAATCCGCTTCCATGTGTTCGTCCAAGAGTATAGAGCCGTGACATGACCTTTGTTTTGATAGCAAACGATCTTATTTCGGGTGGTTGGTGGGTGGTTCAAAATAGGTCACAAAAGGGCTGTAGGTCCGGCAGAACTGCTTCTCACGACGTCCACTTCCTCCCACCTGCTCGTGCCGCCCATGGAGTCCACAGATTGACGGTGTCTCAGAGTGGATCTCCGTCCGGGCCTTGTATACCATAGGTCTCAACATGTCTCAGCAAAACCGTCCCAACAAAGCCCTGAACTGTCCCTCAACCGTGCGTTAATCATAAAAACCTCAACGGCGGTGGGCTGTCCTTTCCGTCTCCGTCTCCGCTCCTTGGTCGGCCGAGAACCTCTATCTCTTCGCGGAGCGGCCGCTGGAGAGCTCCCCCATCGAGGCCTGAAGTTCAGTCATCAAATTCATTATAATTTCCTGTTTTTGATGGGTTTCGAACATTTGTATAGTTGATGATGCCCGAATTTCAGCGTCGCGTGGTCACTGTGTTGGCACCTGGTTTTTGGGGTGGGGATAGACCGACGGACCTGGAGTTGCACGAACCACCTGGAGCTATATTTGGTGGGGACCTGGTCAGGCATGTTTGCCTTAAATTGGGGGGGGTGATTGATGTCAGGGGTCAATTCAATGTAGGCATGCTAAATACATGGAGTGTTTGGGGGTTGTTATTTTTTTCAACTGTTTTCTTTGGGAATGCATTGGAAGTATATAATATAATTGAGACGATTCAAAGAATTTAAGTGTTTGGAAAGGGTTCGGTAGCGCGCTGGAGGAAGGGACAATTTCCTGCATTTTGCTGCCAGTAGGATGCGTTGTACTTAAGGAGGGCAGATTCATGCCTTGAAGCGAAGCTAATACTGGTCTCAAGCAGCACCCCTCACACTGTCGAGACAGTGATGTTGCTTGCAGTGTGTGGCATCAGCGGAGCTTCCACACCTTGTTTTGTCCAACTGTTTTGATGGGAGGTTTGGATCCAAGGGTCCAGTAGGTGATGTGTCGGGCCTCGCTACGTTTGGTCAGAGGATTCAGAGTACGTCACATCACATCTCAGTGGAGACAACAGATATCCCCAGGTCAGTCCCCAGTCGCCCCCGGTCGCCAGTCGGGAGACTCGACGCCGTGACTCCCGGTGTCCATGAACCAACTCCATCGGCGGTCGTATCGGATGGCTCCCAATTGATCGGTGATGAACTGAGTACCCCGTGAGCTTCGCCTTCCGTGAACGGCCCTTTTAAAGGATGGTGGAGCTTGGTGCAACATGTGTAAAATCCTTAGTGAAGCCCAATGGTTCTGCCGGATTCGAACCATCAAATCCTGGGACCAGAACGCCTGGGGAACGACCTAAGAGCCAGCGATACACCCGAACTACCTCTCCCGAACTTGCCGCACTCGCCAGGTCGACGTGCGTGGGACGGCCATTGTGGTAGATGCGAAGTTCGGTCATGGCAAAGCGAAGATGAAAGCGCAACGAAGAAGAGAAAACACGCAGGGTCGCGCTGCGAGCGTGGACTGGCGAAGGAGTGCTCCCAAGACGAACGTGGTCGTTCATATGATTAATATACCCAGACACGACACATGGGACTGCCGTAGATGCCGATCAGTTGGGGTGGTGCCAGGGGGATCAACAAAAAAAGGCAGTCCCCATGTGTCATGTCTGGCCATAGATGAGTCCGTGAAAACACGAGTTCGTGGACTGGGCCTCTCTGGTGTTTACTTCGCCACGCGGAGTGAATCGATGGACCTTCCGCACTGAACTGCCCTGCATCGCTCGCTCGGAACTGGTGCGCTGGGCCCCAGGGGCCCTGGGCCTGGGCCCCTGGCGAAACCCGTTTTGCTGCGATTCGATCAGTCATATAGCATCCGGATCCCAGAAAAAGTGGAAAACTTGGGGGTGTCCCATGACCTGTAATGATCGGTAAACAATGATGTACTATATATTTTGGAGAAAGGCCTTTACCAACCATCATCATCATCCACTGTTGTAGGGATTTGGATATACCCAGTGGATAATCTTTGAACACCATTTTGACTTATATAGGATCTTTACCCCTTTTTGGGGTCCCCACTAACAATAACAGGTGGAAAAATGCTATAAGCTGTATTTTCCAGGGAAACATGTTCCGAGGTCAGGCATATAGCTTTGCATGTGGTTTCATGATGGTTCCAGGAAGTGTACAGTGGTTTCAGAGGTTCGATGGCACTGGCACCCCTACATGTCTTTCAGATGGAGGTCCATACCAGGACCCCCAATGGGTGGTTAATGGACACCCCTTAACAGCTAAGGGGCCATAAATAGACACCCCTTGGAGGGTCCTGGTATAAACCACCTAACTTGGGGATTGTGCCATCTACTCTGAAAGCCGCCGTACATGTCGACAGGTCTCAACACCTGAGTTGCCCCACGGGACGGGCCGTACCTCCGCACGTCAAACTCCGCACCGTCAATGGTCTCGCCCAACTGCACACGTCGTGCTCTGACTATGGTGACCATAATATGTTAAAGTGCAGGATCTATAGCCAAACACAATTGTCCAACTGGACGTCTTCGGGTTTCCTGAACTTGTTGGCCTAGCTCACTTGTTCTTCCACGGGTTCCATTGTGGCCCGCTGCGCGACCTCCGCTGGCCCATCCTCCGCTCTGGCTCGGGTCCTCTGCCATCCGCAGCCACCGGTGGAAGCCGAGGTCGCCGTGGTCGGTTTTGGGCCGCGGGAGCGGGTTGTGGCCAGGTGGCGGATTGATACGGTCCCACCATGGGATTTCTCGGTGATGATTAATCATCAGGTCGGGGGAAGCCCCAAAAGACGAACCCTAAAAGTTTGGTGATTTATTATGAAAGCGTGATGAATCAGATGAATTGTCTATAACATCGGTAGTGCAGGTTTGATTTCAATACCATTAAGGACGATCGGTGATGAGTTGAGTTCCGGTTCCGCCTTCCATTCGAACGCTTCGCAGGTTTCCTTCGTTCGTCTGTCGCTTGGCCCTTCGACCCGGCACGACCGGTTTGCCGCTCGGCCCGATGAGAGGCCGCCATGAATGGACGCGTGGAGCATCCAGAATGGGAGGACGGAGCTGCGCTGACCCAGACCGCCGCGGTGTCGTATCGCGCGCGGCGGTTTCGGGGAAGAGGTCGGGAATTGGTGGGGTGAACTGGCAATGCACTGTGATGGGTTCAGTACTACGATTCGGATGAGGCCTGGATCTTCCAACTATACAGTATGGACAATTTCTGCGTTTTCAGGTGGTTTTCTGCATGAGAAGGTAGATTTTCGGCACAACCGGAAGATCCAGGTATATGGTATTACAGTATTGCATATAAAAGGTCCATGAGAACAGTCAGACCCAGGGAATATTTAGATATATATATATATGTATATCCAAAAACACCTTTTTGTTTGTGGCATCCTCTGACATGTGATGTGAGGTACTTCATAATCCTCTACTTCATGGTTGATGCATACCAGGACCTTACATTCGCCTGGTGTTTTTTTGGACATAGCGAATCACCTCTAAGAGGCTATTCATAGACACCTCTTGGAGGGTCCGGGTAGATAACTACTTATATGGATCTTTACCTGTAAACGATGAATGATCACTCTTTTTTACACAACACAATAGTATCAAACAACACAATAATCACCCAACATATATATGATATATATATATTACATATGGATCGACCCAAGTGACGCGTAGTAACGGGCCCTAAGTAAGCTACCCAAGTCACTACATATATGTTGGTCGGTTGGTTGGGCCCTAAGTAAGCTTGGATAGACCCAACATATATATGATTATTGCAGCCATCGATCCAGGCCAAGGCCGCTGGCGGGAGCCGATCTGGGGCAGACTTCCTTCCGATCTGATTTTTGTCTGAAAACTGAAAACCCTGATGATGTGGGAGAGGACAGAGGTCTGCATCAACAGTCGGTCCGGGGGGATGTAGTCAGAGGAGGTCTGCGATCCGGTTCCATTGTGGTTTTGGAAGGGGTGCTGGTGGTTTGTTGGATGGACCATGGATAGAATTTGGGGGTGAAGTTCCTGCCACTGGGGATGACGTCGACGTCGATGATGACGTCGACGTCGATCGACCGTTCGGTTGGACCCGCCAATCCCAGAGACGTCGACGTCGACTGCAGGGCTCGGTCTCCTCGAAGTTTGGTGCGCGAGGCCTTCATCGTGGAGGGATCGGACGTTACGCGGTTGGGGACGGGTTGGCTGGTTGGTTTGGCCTGTTTGGTTTTGGTTGGTTACTGTCATTAGCTGGTTGTTTTTGGGTTGCTTGGTTTGCTTGGCTTGGAGAAGAGAGAGAGAGAGAGAGAGACAGAGAGAGAGAGAGAGAGAGTGTGACCAACATGACAGTTGCAATTCATTTGCTGAAGGGCAGGTGATTTCTCTTTTTGTTTCAACCATCTTGAAAATTCGGAGCATACGGACATTTACAGCATTCGACCGTTCTGTCTCATCCTGTCCACCGAAGGTGCATCAGCGACTGGGCGACTCTAGAGAAACCCCCAACACCATGGTCCGGTCCGCGCTTTCTAGTCCACTCAGCACGGGCTGTGGCGGTGCTCGACCCCCAGCCCGTTTCAACGACGGTGGGGGACAAACAGAGGAACTCTGGATCCGGGGTCAACCAGTCCAAGGTGGGCACATGTGGGCAGCCACAGCCATATGAGGATGGGTCATGGCAAAGCAGAATCCCCTTTCACCACCATGGAGCCCGGTTTGACCTTCGATCTCGTCCTGATGAACCGGTCAACGTCAGCACGCGTCCCGGGGGCCAGCGTCCCGGTTTGACCTGGCGTGGTCCAAAGACCCCAGTGCTTTCTTCAAACCTCAAGCTCCTTACGAGTGGATGACTTTCCTAGGGGATGAGTTCCGTTCCTTACCCCAAACCAGACTCAACTCCTGAGCTTGGACATGTGAGTTGGTCATAGAAAGAAGATCACGACGTCCTGAGCTTTTCAGGACTAGAATGAAAACTGGGTCGTTGGACCTGCTTGGTGAGCACTTCTTGCTGCTCAAAGAGGATGTTTTGATATGTTTTTTGCTTCTTTCTTTTGGTGTAAAACCAGTTCCATTCTTAGGGGATTGACGTTTTTCCACTGCGGGCTTCACAAGCTCCTGTGTTTGTCCTGTCAGGGACCATGGGCCGGGCGGGGTCAAGCTGCGCGAAAAAGGAGATCCGCTGCTCCAATTCCGGATTTTTGGTCTCAACATGACATGAAGACTGAAGCTGTTTGAGGGCTGCGACCGGCAGCCAAAGTCACAACAATCTCAAAACGTTCAAAAACAACCAACTAGGTGGCTCTATCACTGCACCTTCACTTCAGAAGTCTGGCAATCTATTTCTAGCCCTTTTCGGAAAGCCCTGAGAAAAGCACCTCAAAGAAAAGGCCAGTTTAAACAAAAAACCTTCACGGTCTCAGCAGGTCCACATTCCGAAGACCATCCTGTTTGGGTGTCCTGGCCTTCGTGGGGCTGAGCTGGGCAGTCCAGCCAGGACACCCAGATCATGATGGTCCAGGTTGACTCACATGTTCACATGCCATCACCTCTAAGAGAATCTATAGGATGCTCCCAGACGCTCCTGACCCCTCATATGCAGGGGTCGGACCCTCATATGGAGGGGTCTGGACCCTCAAATCCCTATGGTTTTGAGGGACCAAGGGCTGTTTGGAGCGTCTGGGCTAGTTATAAACACCTCTTGAGGGTCTTCTCTTCACATGTGTCCTGTTTCTGTCGCATGTGTCACGAACCTCCATGACTGCTCGCCATGGTGCCATTGGTCCATGCACCGTCTCTTCCCCGCGGTCCGTGCGCTGCGGGTACCGCTGTGACAGGTGCGGGTACCGCTGTCGTGGGTCGACCGAGGAAACGAGTCGAACAACGACGAAACCGGCGAAACCGGCGTGAAACGGAAGGTTGCGACCCTGGCTGTTTTCCCGGTTCCTGGCACTTTGGCAGGTGACTTGTTTCTGGGTTTCTTGGGGGACAGCACTCGTCTGACTTAGTCAAATGTTTTGTTCCTGAAGAAGAAGGACATCCAAGCATGAAGAGACCGATCTTTACATCCGTTGTTTTAGATCGAGGCCAGGACTGACTGGTAGAAGATGGTAGAAAAACTTCAGAGACTAGGCATTAAGCTTCTTGAAAGTTTGTTTTTTGGAGTCCCTAAGTGACCTTTTACACCCAGGAATCATACTTAGTCCACTTTCAACTGATGCTTTGAAGATGTTTGGAGTCATGAGCTTTGAAGATCATGTAGACTGTTGATGAACAACCCCCCCAGACATGGATTGTAAAGCCTCTTGATACCTAGATCTTCCAACTGTGCACCAGTTCTGCCTTTACCACTTATCAAAATCAGCCAAGTTCGACAGGCATGTTGCATAGGAAGATCTAGATATAGGGGGATTGGAGCCTCGTGTGTGCTTCCGTTTGCTTTTTTTGTTCCTCACTAAATCACTGCTATAGCAACCTGGTATGACTTGGTATGACCTGGCACAGCCGGTGATGGCACCTTCCCGAACCTTGACAGGGAAACACCATGCATATCCCAGATGCCAGACACTCATGGACTGCCATATTTGCCGAGAAACGGCTTGGGGGTTTGGGGGGTCTTGTTGCGGCACATCTTCCAGTCCCATGGAGCGTCTGGGTATGTATCTAGATGGTAAAAGGCGATGCCTAAACGCCCCGCACACGTGTTCACGGCACGGATGAAGACATCCGAAGACCCTGTTCCGAAGATCGGGGGGGCTTAAGATCCACGGGCTTCAAAGCACCTGCCTGGTTTGGCGGTGTTCAGGTGATTTCTCATTGTCCTTATGGGTCAATCAGTGAATCCATGTGAACCCCCTCCCGGAAAAATCCTTTCTTCCTAGTACTTGTCGCGTCCTTGTTCCTATAGTAAGGATTTCGTTCCCAATTGGACGGCCAAGCCTGACGCTTGACACCCCATTACGATCTTGCAAAGGCAGATCCTGGAGTCCCCGACTTTTTTTGGCCCACACATCCAGCCGGCCGAGCATTGGTGGAGCTGGATTGACCTAAGACGACGGAAAAAAACGTCCGGCCTGCCCCAGTAAAACCATGTAAAACCTGAACGGCTGACTCAGTGTCTACGACGACGAGTCGTTGTGTCTTTTTGCATGATGAAACCCCTGTCTTTCATGATAAGGTCGTTGTTTTTTCCTTTTTCAGACCACGGCCCTTCGGTCAGTACCAGGACCATCCGACCCGACTGGCGTGTCCTGGCTGGACTAACTACCCCACACTACCCCACGGATGGCTTCCAGACAGGGCACCCCGATGGTCGGATGGTCCAGGTAGGTGGTTTGGAGGAATACGCCCTAGGGCTCCAACCATATCCTCAGAAGGTGGTTAGACCCCCCAAACCCACCCTAACCATCTTCTCAGGAGGTGGTTGGAGCCCTAGGGACGGAAGGGCTGTGGAGTTCGGACCTCTTCCTTCGGAACTCGGGACGCGCCGACCGAATCAGGTGGCCCAGTTCTCGGTGCCGTTCTCGGCCGCTCCCGCTGGGCAGCGGGGCTCCTGGAGGCAAACGAGAGTTCGAAGCGTCCGAGCCGCGGCCAGTGGAAAGCTTCGACATCTTTCAATGGTGATCCCCTGGAAGTCCAGTTCGACTATGTTTTGACTGACTGAAGTAAAGGAAGTTCCTTTTCAGGTCGCCCAGTCAGACCATTCTTTTTATAGTCTGACCGACCCCCAGGGGAGAGGAGATTGAAAGAGTTCTGGTTGGATCTGGTTGGAACCCAATTCTTTTTTTGCGTGAGATCCTTTAGGAAGTGGTTGAGACTGAGAAACAAGTTTCAGGACTTGGGACGGCGTGTTTGGAGTGGCACGAAACCCGAAGTGCGCGCGCGCGCGCGCGTGTGTGTGTATTTCTTTTTTCGGGTGGATTTGATTCTTTTCTCCTGCTGGGAAGGTGCAAGGTGGTATACTAAGATGTACTACCCAGACACTCCATGTATGCCATATATGCCTACATTGACCCCTCAAACCACCCCAATGTAAGCATATATGGCATACATGGAGTGTCTGGGCTAAGTATGTTTTGGTTCCGGTTCTTCTTGTTCCTGGACAAGCCAAAGGCACAGGGGCAAAACCAGGGATCTCCAGTTCTGTCTCACCCACGAACCGGGAACGGAGGGACCCAAACGGGAGTTCGACCCAGAACTGGCCGGCGAAGTGGTGCTTGCTTTGGGCAGGTTGGAATGGGTTGGAGGGTGGAATGGGTGACTTTTGAAGAATCGGATGAGATGATGTTCCTTATACTTGTGGCTCTAGGCAGCACAAGGACGGGGGGAGCAAAGCGAGACATTTCAGATCATGAAAGGGAATTCAGGAAATGCCGCCAGTCTCCACTCCTAAAGCCTGGAAGATAAGCCTAAAGACAGGAGGACCTCCTACGGGCCCTCTAGATCAAGTCCGTACAAAGGACCGTTGAAGAGCTGGGTGAGTCTTCAGAGCCAGAGGAAACACAAATCCTCATCCCATCCTCTCATCCTCTCATCGACCGGTCGGTCCCTTTAAAAACAAAGAAACCGTCACTTTGCTTCATGTTTCATGGACCGTTGCATGTTTGTAGCCGCTTTTCTCGAAGCGGCTACCACATCTGAGGAAGGTAGCAGTGCATGTCCGACCCAATCCTCTTTTAAACATGTTCACATCCAGCTGAGACATTTTCACCCAGTTTCAGAGTCACTTCATTGGTTTCGTCATTCCGTTCCTGCTCAGCACCGCGATGCCTTTCGTTTCTTCGGATCCTTCGACCTCCTCGGAGTCGATCCGGTGCCCTCGGAAGAAACGTCGTCCTCCCGAGTCGTCGTCTTCGCCTGGTTTTAGGCTCGGAGATCGAGCCGGAAGACCTGGCACACCTGGAGAGGCATCCTGGTTTCAGCAGCAAAAACACCACTCTCTCTACCAGCGGAACGGGTGGTGACCATGGACACCCCTTTTCTTTTTCTAGGTATTTTCCATCCAATAACCACCCAAAATCCGTGGTGCTGGTGGTTTTTCTAGGCTTGTTGGGCCGTGAGAGGGTCGACCTGTTGGTGACCTGTCAGAGATAAGATATTTGGTACTTCTCGCACAGGATTGTGTGGTGATAAATCAGTGAAAGCATCTGCATAGCTATGCATCAGCAGATCAGTAGCCTCACTGCCGGGTCTGAACCTTTTTTCAGGGTTGGGAAGGGCCCAATCACAGGTCTCAATGATTAAGACCTGGTATATACCAGGACCCCCCCAAGGGGTCTCTATTTATAGACCCCTATAGCAGTTAAGGGGCATCCATTAACCACCCCATAGGGCGCTCTGGTAGGTATATAGAAATATTGGTGACATACATTGACTGAGATGGACGAGATGTTCAGTCCCATCCAGGGGCCGTGGATGTGACAAAGACACTCTGACTTCCTAAATGGATAGCTCTTTTGGAACTGCTGGTAGAAAACCATCAGCCAAGGGTCAGCCAATTACTGTAGTCCTTTGAGCAGTGGGTTTTGAGGGCAATCCGTTCTGGATGCTTACGAAGACATCTTGAGCAGATGGGGACACAATAAAGAAAGATATTGAAACATGCGACTGGACTCCAATCATGTCATTGGACACTTGATGGTGATGGCGACCCATGCCTGAAATCACGCCAACCCCACAACGGCCAATTGTTTTGTGCGTGGTTTTCGTTTTTTCTCCCACTGACTGAAAAAGAAGAGCTCACACAACAACTAACAATAAGACCGGGTCCCGTTTTGACATGACAGTTGACACATGCATGGGACCCCAACATATGACCCCCGATCAGTTTGGGAGGTTTCAAAGGGTAGGTTCAAAGGGGTATATTGTGGGTCTGTCCTATTGCCTGTAACAGTCAGTAAATAAGCAAATCACGATTTTTGAACAAGGGCTTTAGTAACCATCATCATCCACTAGTACTGGTGATAGACCCAAGGTCAATTCCTGTCCCTTGATCTCTTCAAGCGATCGCCCACCCAATCCTTTCCATCATTCCTCTTCCATTCGTGGAAGGTCTCACCAACTGAGCCATCTAGGTGTCCTGAAGTTCGAGACCAGCCGACCGAAGGTCTCCTCTCAAAAACATTAAAACACCAGGCATCTTCAAGCCGACCCACATCTCCAAAAAGCCGTTCCATGCAATACCTTTTGGATCCACATATACCGAACCTGAGCTACGGTGATTGGAGATGATTTATGTAGGCGCCAGGAGGGTCCAGTCTGACCTTCTGAGGTTCGGTATGTGGATCACTGTGGATCCATAGATGCAATAGATGTTGGTGTCCTCTTCCAGTTCCATTCACTGGCCTTTTCCGGTTCCCAAGCAACTCCGAGTCTCACACTCAGCATCGACGGCCGGTTCTCAGGATCCTAGCGCCCTCTCTGAGCATCGCCCCCAGCAGCATCTCGGGTCTGGGTCTACACGCACGACGCGCCTGCGTACCAGGTGGCGGAAAGCGGGACTGAAGCCGGGACTGGGGACTGGGGCTGGGAGGTGGTCTCTGTGAGAGTTGGTGGAGGTCCCTTGAGGTCCCTTTTGGTCCACGTGATTTCAATGATTTCTCTACATCCCGGGAGAATGGATGACATTTGGCTCCAGTATTTCAATGTATTTCATGATGGACACTTTACACTCTTTTTGGGCCAGCTCATTGGTCCGCGTTTCAATGCTCATCTTTTTTGAGCAAGAGCCCAGAAGAGCTCATTCAGAGAAGCCCTATGCCGCCCTCGACACACGCCAATCAACTGATTCATGGCACTCCAGTCAGACCAACAACTTGCCCGAACATGCCCACCTGACGCAGAACTGTTCTCTCCTCCCGCCTCTTTGCGTCGTTTATCGAGTCGAAGCACCTCCGGCCTTTCAACGCCCTCCGGCCACGGCTCACCTCCGTCGGCGTCGTGCTGCGGAGGCACCGACTTGGCCAGCGAAAGGGCCTTCGTGTGGTGTGGCGCCTCCCGGGAGCGAGCCTCCAAGGCGATGCGTTCGATGCGTTCGATGCACGGGAGGGTCCGTGGCGTGAGGTCATGAGGAAGGGGCAGGTGGCAGGTGGCAGGTGAGGTGTGTCAGGGTCCTTCGTTCGAAAAAAAAGGGTTGCTTTTTGGACTGGTTTCTAGGGGTAGATGCAGGGCGTCACCATATCTTGTTATGGGGGGGGAGGCAGATTTGCTGATCATTTGGAATGGTGGATCAAAACTCAGGGCCCGTAGCATCACCCTTTGCTACCCAGCATGGACCTCCTGTAGGTCGTCCGTCGTCTATTTCGTCCTTTTATGTATTCGGGCTCATGGTCAGTGGGAGGGTCCCCCGGTTTGGAGTTGTCTTTAGTAGGCGGTAGGCGGGTCAATGGACAGAAGCTTGGATCTTGACGGACACTGCTGCGCAAGTGAACCCGGAAGATGGTGCAGAACATGCAGGAACTTTTAGGACGGCAGACAAGGACAAATGTTCACACTTCAACAAATCCCAGACACTCCATGTATGCCATATATGCCGAACAGTTGGGGTGGTTTGGGGGGGTCAATTGATCGGCATATATTCAGTGCCATGTGTCGTGTCTGGGAATGTTTCCTCGTCCACTCCCCCCCACAAAAAAAAGCTATCTCCAGTGTCCGTTGGTCCTCTCTTTTCACTCCTCCACCATTCCCGGCCGAAAGCTGCCGAAGCAATTGGCGCAGGGCTTCAATGCTTCGGATATTTTTCCCAAAGAGCTCCTCACGGATCCTGATCACCAATCCTGTGCCCTCACCGCGGTGCTGTGCCACTCGGCCGGTGCGACCGTTCGGGAGAGCTGTTCTAGAACACCAGTGACCCTAGTTGGGATGCCCCGGATCGATCCCCTGGATGAAAAGGATGCGGCAAGATGCTCCGTGCAGCATGACCAATGGTTCATGCTTGCAGTTTCCACGACATGCTCATATTCCTGACAAAGCTGGGAGCTGGATCTCTCAAAAACTGCGTCTTGAGGTTCTGAGGGACTACGAGCTGAGCATAGCTGAGCTGATCCGTTCAGGGAAGGTTCTTCTTCATCCCAGACACGACACGTCTGGGACTGCCATAGGACTGCCGCCCCATTGACCCTCCCAACCCCCCCTGGCCGTTTCTCGGCAGTCCGGCATGGCAGTCGACATGCCGCGTCGCATCGTTGTCTTCTTTGAATGAAAGAGCCCGGTCCCTCTCCGTTTTGTCAGCCCGGCCGCCCGGCCACCTGCAGTTCTTCTCTTTTTCTGCACCTGGACCCTCTAAGATCGGTAACACCTTCGTGAGTGACAGGTGGTCGACCACCTGGACCGAGCTGTTGGGGTGCTGTCGGCAAACCGGAAGGTCGACCAGTGACCAATGTAGTGACCATGATCTTGAATACAGGTGGATAAGTATGTGACACAATGTGGATACCATGGTACTCTCCCTTGAAAAAGGACCTGAAGAAGTACCACTTTAACATACCATCTCAGCCTATGGTTGGCCAGGTTAGGTGCCAAACATGCCAATCAGTCTGTTCGGCCAGCCTCGAACAGCTAAGGCTTAATGCACACGCGGCTGACCACGGCGGGATGGGGGGCCGAGTCCGAGAAATCGAGAATGCCTCGTGCGAATGCACAAAGTATATGCCCAACAATCCATACACCTAGAACCTGATCGACCAGTGTTTTGGAGCCCAAACATGGTCTTTTCTCATCAAAGCAGAGCGAGGTCATGTCTGGGTTCTAGGTATTTATATTGACACCGTTTCCACCACCCGATGTAGATACACATTCCAGTCCTCTGGATTGTTTGGGTATACAAGCATGCACCAAGTCACTGCTCGAATTGGACGTTTTCTGCGAGAGTGCATGGGGCCTCTTCTTGCTTGTCTTGACTGGGCTCTCTTGCGACGAGGCATAGCTGCTAGGCTGCTAGAAATCATGGAGCTTCCCCAAGAAGGACCCAAGAAGGACCAGCTTTACCAGCTTGCAGATCATCTAGTGCAGATCCTTTGGGTCTATCTAGACCCCCATCTTCTTGAGCTGTCGAGCGCAAAGCATCGGTGGTGCTTCCCGGTTGGGGCCTGAAGTCTTAAGGAAAGATATGACGAAGTCGTGCACCTTCG